AGAAGAGGGTAAAAAAAACTGGACCTAAGATCGAGGAGGGAAGGAAGTGGAGGGGGCACAAACAGGCAACCGCAAGTACAAAAGAAATGAACTGCTCGGTATCCGCCTTCATGCCACACTCTCTTGGCACTTTGCTGCCTCACTCTCTCGCCCTCTGCTGCCTCTCTCCCTCTCCCTCTCCGTCTCTCTCCTGTTCTCTGCCCTCAGTCATCGACGTTCTTGCTGCTGCTCACTCAATGGTCCATAAATCGGTTGTCAACTATTCAAATGCAGACAATTGATTACAGCGATAAAGCTGAAGAGCCTTTTGTGAGCGATTCATCCTCCAGCTCCTTCCAGCGCCAGCTTTTACTCCTGCTCCTGCTGCTCCTCTAATGAAAGCAGCTGCGCCTTTCACAGCGAATGAGGCACAGCCATTGGCAGAGATAGAGATAGAGATAGAGAGGGAGAGAGAGTGAGATATATGTCTAGGTGGCACACACAGAAAATGAAGGGAAATCGGTTTTTTTTTTTCATCTGAATCGCTTTTCCTTTTCCTTTTGGGCCCATAATGAGATGAGACTTGGCTTTGGAGGAGGCGCAGCAGCAGCAGCGGCAGCAAGTCAATAGACTTGGTAAGACCATTTAAGCCAGCCACAGAATTAGGTTACAGCTGTACCCACACACACACACACACACACACACACACCTGAGATATAATTACAGTCAATACTCGTTGCAGTAAACTGCAAAACCAACACGACATCAGCTATCGATCTGAATGGGATATACGGGCAGATACTTGGAAGATATACGAAGCCCTCAAAGAAGCAGGTGCTTCAGCAAACTGTGTTTATTCACAGTTCAATAAATAAAACTCCAGAAGCTCCTTCTCCCAGTCTCCCATACCCAGATCTCAAATGGGGTTTGGCATCCATCCAGCTATGCCGCTCTCTGAAAGCCCATCCATCTTCGGTGTAGCTTTAAATAAGAAATGAATACAACGCCTCTTTGTTCGGAAGCGCTGAAACGGACTTAACTCTGCAGTGTTCCCATTGGCAGTGGGAATGCGAGTGGGAGTGGGAGTTTCAATTGCACTTTTTATATGGGGCATGGCAGGGGGCAGCATTTAACACTTTTGTATTTACAAAGCTATATAGCAATAGAAAATAGCAATAGGAAGAGCCCGAGCCCGAGTCCGAGCCCGAGCCAGAGCCCTGGCAGCAGCGGCTTAAGAACGTTTACCATTACAAGCCATAAGCCATGAAAGTAAAGAAATGCTGTGGCAACCGTCTTTCCTACAGCTTACAACAACAGTAAATGTTGGCGTAGTGGGGCTTGGTGGGGGCAACGTTGATTGGGTTGCATCAAAGCGTGGCATTAGGAAGTGCGGCCACGTCTTGGCTCTGGCCAAAGAAATTGTTATGGCCCTGCGCGCAAGTGAATGTCCGTCTAGTGTCCGTGTCTATTTATCTATCAACTGTGAGAATGGTATTTCTTTCTCTTCTGTTCTCTTCTGTTCTGTTCTGTGTGGTCTCCTTATCCCTTAAAAGATGGTCTTTGCTATTCTTCTTTCACTGTGTATGTGTGTGCGTGAGTGTGTGTGTCTTAGCCAGCTTTTCCCCCCATCCATCTGCAGCTGCTTAAGTTGTGGAAAAGCTGGCAAAAAGGGTAAGAGCAAACAAATTGGTAGACATCGCCACTAGTGACGTGACGTGCACTCCAAAAAAGAAAGTAGGAAAACCCCAATGACTAATTGGGAAAACTTCATCGAAGGAGCCCATCCAGCTGTCAATTGTTGTGGCAGACGGCAGTGCAGGGGTCGAATCAGGCCGCAAAACTCAGTTAAGAACTTAACGAAACATAATTTCAAACCTCTCCTCATGCTGCTCCTCGCAGTGCTGCTGCCAGAAATAAAGGAAGTTTTCTAGTCGTAGGCCAATAATTTAAGAAGAAGTTCACGCTACACAAAGTTCAAGTGAAGTATGCCTGCCACGGTCTCTGCCGGCTGCCTGCTGCCTGCCTCGCTCTGAAAGATGGCAAACGGAAATTTACTGCAGGCACGAAACGGTAAATGTGTGGGGGCCTGCCGCACGAGTGCGGGGCAATGGCAGTGGCAGTGTGGAGTGGATTGTGTCCCGCGGAGCGAAATATGCACATTTCCACACTTAATAACAAAATATGTTAAACAAAATCATTTGATGTGTTGTCGGTCGTTCGGATGGGGGCGGCGAAGGGTGAGGCACACTGTGGTGGGTGCAGACTTTTTCTTTGCAACCATGAGGCACACACAAACACATGTTTACATGCAAATTACACATCAAGCAAATGGCGGGGCTGTGCTGTGCGGCACTGTGGCAGTGGCAAAACAAACGCAAATTATATGCTGCATACTTTTAGGCCTTTGCCTCAGACTCAGACTCTCCTCCTCTCTCTCCTTTCGAGGACTCCTACTCGTATGTATATCGAGCTCCCTGGTACATTCATTTCCTCAGAAAAACGACGTCCAGACAATGTCGCGCCGCTTCCTTGCGGTTCCCCAGAACCCCCAGCCAGCCCCTTGCATACATTTAAAGTATTTTCGTTTTTTATTCCGTTTCGTCGCCCTTTCGGTGGGGAAATTCGCTTGGAAAAACCCAAGCAGCGCGCGGCGTAACATGTAAACAAACTCATTTAACTGATTTTCATGAAAGAAAATGTGGCTCCTGGGCATCCAGGAACCAGTAACCAGCAACCACGATATGGGATGGGATGGGATGGGTACTGGTTCTGGTCTCTGGTCTCTGGAACGACCGCATTATCATCTTCATCTCGGTGCCTGTTTTTGCCTGCAACTCTTTCAGGAGCGGCAGCAGCTGCCGTAGCCGCAACCTGAGGCTAGATTTACATGTCACTCGACTTAAGTTGGGCTCTGCCAGCAGGGCCTGTACCTCACCTCAGCTCAGACCCTGGCAATCCGTGACCACGGCGACAAGTTAACTTGTCCCGGAGTCGTTGGCTTCTCCTTTGAGCTTCCTGCTCCGCTCGATGCCCCTCAAGCTGTGCACATAATCTTTGCATAATTTCCAGCTCAGCTTTTTCCCTTTTCTACCATGTTTTTTTTTTCCACTGCCACTTTGGTACGTGCTGAGAGGCAAAAACGGCAAATGTCAGCAGAAACAAGAAAATAAACTAAATACAATTTTTTCTACCCCATAAGTTTACTCTTCGCTATAAGAAAGGACCTGCCACTCGCTGGACACATGAATGTGCCTATGCTTTATCCTTGGGTCCCAAATACCGAATTAGTAAACGCATTACGAGTATCCTCTCGTCCGTAGATACATAATAATCGTGTTTAGAAATGTGAGAATTATGCAATTTTTATTGCCAACATTTGTGGGCTGCCAATTGCAGGAGGAATCGAGGAGCAGGAGAATGAATATTTTCCAAGTTCAACTTTCTTAAAATTAATACTGAAGTGGGGGGTAATCTTCAAAGGGCTTCCCCTGGTATAAGCTTCTCTAATTCTTTATTTATAATTCCCACACATTTTTGCGTAAATGAAATCAAGAACAGGTCTTAGAGAGAGACACGAATAGTTCTCGGTTTCAAACGTGTTTTTTTTTTAATAACTTGTGCAGAAAGCAATAAAAGGTCCCTAAGCGGGGCAGAGCGGGGGATTTCTTAACCAACTTTTTGGCTTTGAAATTCGACCAACAAAAGCGCAAAACTTCGAAAGGCCATGAGGGGGCAGCGCACTCCCTCTCTTTATCCCTTCATGTGTACAAAATCAAAAGGATAATTGAGACATGTGAACAATATCCCTAAGTGCGAGGGCACCAACGAGCACAACACGAGAACTCAATGAGAGGTCGTCCGTCGCACATCAAAGGTGGCCCCCAGACGGGTTTTCCCCCCCAGATGAAAAGCAATTAACAAAAGTAAAAGCAAGAAGAAAAGTTACTGGGAGGTTGAGCAAGGAAAATGGTTAGAAGACCAAGAAAAAATATTAAATGCTTGAAAAAAGTAAGCAAGGGGAGAGAGAGAGAGATGAGAGAGAGGAAAGAAAACACAAAGAGAAGACGTGGGGCAGACTCACAAAAGTGCCAGGCACTCACAAAACGGTATAGCACGGGGAGCTGCTGCAGGGGTAGAGGGTTGCCTGCGCCTCTTCCCACCCAAACACACACGCACGACAAAGCAGAATAATAAATTTCAATTCAGACGACGACATGACGTCTCTGCCTCACGTCGACGTCGTCGTCCACATGCATGTGGATAAGAAACCGTCGTGCTCCATACAGCCCTTCCGAAACTCTCTGCTCTTCACGGCTGCACACCTACTGCCCGTGTCTCTTCTACACCGCTAACCCCTGCTGCACTCCAACGTAACCCCTAGCCTGTGGGGCAGCAGCAGCAGCAGCAGCCTCTTTGGCTTAGCCAGGGTCCGGGGGCAGTGCGAGAAAAAAAAACTGCTTTATGCGAATGGGGAAAAAGTCGCTTCGCGCATAAATGCCACGTGGACGAGCACCCCCCCACACACACACACACAAACGCAGACATGGGGAGGGGGCACACAGTGACTGCAAAAAGGAAATGCGCAACGCAGCCCAAAGGTGTCAAGCGGAAAATAAAGCATAATAATAGCTGCAGCAAAGGCTGAACAAAAGCCTCAACATTGGATGGGCGGGGGGTCCTAGACACACGTCACTCAGTTGAGGCAGCAGTCAGGATGGTGTGTGGCAAGATGGGTTGATGGTGGGTTGATGTGCTGCTGGGCTGGTGGGCTGGTGGTTCCATGCGTAGTTGACGCATTATCCGGCTGTGGCAATATTGTCCCGGGATCAGTGAGCGAGAGGTAGGCCTCTCCGAAATGTTCCTAATAAATTATGAAAATGCCAGCAACGCAGCTTCAAAGGAATTGCCAAATGAGGAGCTCCGACTTTTAATAACCTTAACATAAGTCCCCGGAAAGAGAGTAAATTCTCACATCACATACGAACCTCTCATCCAAATTTCTCTTTATTCTCTCATTGCAGATACATATTTCGGAGGAGAGAATGTGAGAAAGGAGATGTCACGACGATGCCGCAATAAAGGCGCTGAATAAAAAAGAATCCTGAAGCTGATTTCGAATGGCAACAGCACCAATAACAATAAACGGAATTGCAACAAAAGTAATTTGAATTTGTGTGTAGACAGACACGGAGACAGAGACGGCAATAAAGATACACGGAGTGAGAGAGAGAGAGAACACTAGAAAATTGTGTACATATTTTGTCTCTGTCTGTTCTGTCGTTTCGTCCGTGTAAATAAATACAATGCAGAAAAAACAGCAACAGAAACAGAAAAAGCAACAGAAAACAGGAATAACAAGAGAAATGGCAAAAAGTGCAGTTAAGCGTGGAAATTGCATTAAAAATTGAGCAAAAAAAAACAACAGAAACTGCTGGAAAATAAAGGCGAAAAAAGAGAAAAGAAAATCCAAAGCTAACGAGCGCTAAAAAGCAACAAAAACGCGAAAAGAAAGGCCGCGATACAGACAGAAAAACAAAACAACAACAAAAAGAGTAAAAACTTTTGATTGAAAATTTTCATTGTGCTTTCAGTTTTGATTCCCATTTTTGATTGTGTAAATTTTTGATTAAAAGGCAAAGACACACAAAAACACACAAAACACACCCACGTGAAAGTGAAAACAATAAACAATATCTACAATAAACGAAGCAAACTACGAGATACGCGTACGAGTCCGAGACACGAGAGAACCCGCTCCCGTTCGTTTGACAGTCTGTCATGACAGTTCGAGACTTTGTACTGCTATATTTTTTATTGTTTATGAACAGCAAGATCGGCGCCTGCGGTCATAAACATATGTGAGACTTATAGAGGGACTCCCCGCCACCCCCTCATATTTCACATAAGCCAAATTGAGACGTGAAACCGGCAAAAAGCAAAATAGTGACTCTTGGGCAAGTGAGTCGTGCAATAAAACGTTGCGGGTCTTGGTGTCTGGCAACCATCTTAACGTCCTGAAACGAGGCACTTTTCTCGTTGACAAAGTAACGCATTTGGGCGATAAGGAGAAAAACGACGACCGATAAACGGGAAACGAGAAAATGAGCAGCCTGCAAGTACAGGGACAGGGACAGGGACAGGACATCCCCAACAGCAAGAACACCAACAGGAGGAGCAGCAGCTCCAGGATGGGGGCACAACTATTGCTCTTTATCAGCATCGCATTCGCATCATGTTTGCCGGGTAAGTGTCAACAGCACAGAAGTGTCTTCTGTCTCCTGCTTCCTGTTTGCCTGTTTGCCAGGCAACTGACTTATCATTGGGGTCCTGGGGTTCTGGGGTCCTCGGTCCACCCCCCTCCGGAATTAATGCAAATATTTAACGTGCTTTTTTATGGATTTGTCGTTGTCATCGCTGCTGAGAGGAGAGCAGAGCAGCCTCTCTGCAGCCTACTTAAAGGCATCGTCATAACGTGCCAGAGATGAGGGGCCTCTGAGAGATCTCCGAGGGGCAGAGAGATTGCTCCACTTGACATGACTTGTAAATGGCTTTCGATTAAGTTGTCACATTAGCATTAATCTTGAGCTATGGCGGAGCATCCAAGCAGAGTAGAGTAGAGCAGAGCAGAGCAGAGTCAAGAGGAGAGGAGGGGTGAGCAGCGTAGCAGCTCATTGAAGTTCAATCAAGTTGTCTGGCTGGCCCACTCCTCTTCGTCCTCCTGCTGCTTCCTGCTGCAAGGAGGAACGTGCTAATGAGCCGTAAGCTGATGAGTTTGCTTGCTCAGTGTCCCTGTCTCCGCCGGTTATGACTCGTCAAGTCCTGAAGGTGATCTGGGTCAGCGGCACAGATCCCTCCTCTCCCAGCGAACGGCTTATGGCATAACCTATTATATAATTGAAATATAATTACAAGACCAGCAAGCCGCTTAAACCGCTCACGGTATAAATTCATATATAAATTCATTATTTCATTAAGTATTGCAAGTATTTTAAAGGCAGGCCTGCGTTTTTAATGAGCCACCAGCAACGACAGCAGCAGCGGCAGCAGCGGCAACAGCAGCAACAATCGGTTCAATAATAATTTTTACGTATAAATATTCGATGGAAATAAATATCAGTAAAAGAGTCAGGCTTATGAGCTGAAACTAAAGATATCCTATAAGAACGTGTCAGCCATTTTTGGAATCATTTCCAATCATATAATATTTTAATCTGTAAGAGATTTACCTTTCATATCCATCGTTTCTGTAGTGGATACATTGATAAATCCTTATACGTATTAGTGCGTATATATCTGCTTAGTGCACCCATACCCTCTGATAGGGTAAACTGAGTGACAGCCCGACAACCGCAAACTGCCTTCTCCCTCCTGCAATTTTTAAGCAAATAATTTAAACTAACTAAATTTCATTAAAGAGTTTCCTGGATATTCATGGAAAGGGGAATAACAGTCAGGAGAGCAACGTTTGCTTTTGCTGAATAATAAATTTAAGGCCAAGTTTGCTTTTGACATTACGTATACGCAGCAATGACTGATGCCGTTGCTGTTGATGGCACACCCATTGACATTTCATTTCGTTTCGTTTCGTTTTGTTTTGTTATTGGATGAATGTTTTTGCTTGTAAAACATTTTCGCATGGAAAAACAAATGATTCTGCGATAGTTTTGTGCCAGAAAATACTTTTATTTATCCATCACAGATCAGCAGCTGCAGCTGCCGCTGCCGCTGCCGTTGTCGTTGCCTCCCGTCCCACAAAAGGCTTTGTGTCGGGTCTCATTTGGTTTCATTTCATTTGCAGATCAAACAAATTCCATTCTATTTGTGTTTTCCCTCCCGTCTCTATCTGTTTATCGTATTTGTTGTTTTGCTAATTCCAAACTATTTCAAATGGTATTCCAGAGCAACTATCCCAATATTTGTTGTTTATTCTATGGAGCATTTCAATGTTGTATCTTCTCTTTGCCTTTCTAATGCGTCCCCGAAACGATGTTAATGCGAAATTAATTTCCAAATTGAACAAGGCATAAATAAAACATTTGCTCGCTCGTCGATTCATTCCGATTCCGATTCGGATTCGGATTCGAAGACACATCCTTCCTTGTCCTCGGACTTTTATGGCAGCGACAAAAATTGGTTTCAATAAAAATTTACGTTTCATAAAATTTATTATGTATGCCATACAATGGCAACCAAACAGCAGGGCATCGCAGGGAATCGCGGGGGGATCAGTAGTCAGCAGGCAGCAGGCGGCCGTCAGCAGGCAGCAGGAGATGGTCAAATCAAAGCAGAAATGGCCAAAAAACAACAAGGAAATGAACAACTTTATATGCAGGATAATGGCCAGGACATTATGATGGCGGCAAGGACTCTCTCATATGAGGAATAAGTGCCTCAGAGAGAGCAGAGCACAGAGCAGGCTTGCCTGGTAGGCAGGATATTTATTACGTGTGTGTCTGTCTGTAAGGATAACGATAAGATCTGTGGGGGGGAGGGGGTGGGCACAATCCTTTGCACTTTGGACAACTATGAGGCTTTATGGGCCACTCATTGACCAAAGAAATTCTTGAGTAATCAAACTGAAAGTTTTCGGACTGATAAGAGCTTTCAGCTAATGGCAAAAACACAGAAACAAATTCATGCAAACATTTTGAGCATAAGTGCGAGTGCGAGTAGAAAGATTGAAGTACGAGTAGGAGAACTTCCAACATGACTTTTCAATTTTGGAATGTGTTGAATGGGCTTTTGGCTTATGCCGGAGCCGTATCGTTTGAGCAGCTGACTGCCTCAGTTAATGAAAATGGGAAAATCCATGCACACCACCACAGCCTCGCACATCCGCACCCGTAGCAGAGGTTAAAGCGTGAGAGAAAGAGATAGAGAGACCAAAAGTTGGGTGGCAACTTTTAATGGCACACTAAAATAATGAAAGCCAAAAACTGAATCAATCCCCAGGTCCAGGTAACAGAGTCACAGCCCCCACCCGAATCGATAGAGCGCTCAGCCACACTGCCACACTGCCACACACACGTGTGCGACACAATTAAAGGGAAACTCTAGCTGCGGAAAAACATGGCTGGCAACGGGGGAAAAAGGAGCGAATAAATATGGAAAAATTGTCATCAGCTTGCGTTGCCAGGACAGCAGCAGAAAAGCGAGAACAGAGCACGTAATGAGAATGTTGCTCACATGTAAATATCCGAACTGTGCTCTTTCTCTGTGTTCGTGCTTGTGTTCGTGTCCTTATCCGTGTGTGTTTGGGGACGACTGATTGCAAACAGCTTGGAGCTGTGCGGCACGCGCCTAATTAAATTAGAAAACTCAAAATTTGAGCTCAATTGAAGATGGAGATGAGGATGGGGAATAGGGGCCAACACTCTCTGTTCTGTTTGGGGATGACTTAATCCGCAAATAGATGGTATATTGTGAGGATGGTGAGGCAGATCGAAAGCGAAGCGAGGAAACAAAATACAAGGAAAACTACCATACATAGGTAGGAACCCGAACCCCAGCCCTTCCACATTCCTTTCGCAAACAGAAAGCAAAGTGTACAAGGAGGACAGCAGGCTTAAAGAGTGAGGCATCCGTAGAGCACAGAGCACAGAGCGCATCTGTCATCGATTTGCATGTTGTTCTCTTGTGTTCCTCAAGGACCAAAGCATATTTTCGCCTAACGAAATTATGCAACAATTTTTCAGCCGTAACTCCCATTCCTCCATCTCATCCTCTTCTTCTCCTTCGCCACCGTGTGTCTGGCAGTGGGTAAACAAAGTCGAGCAAATATCCACACGTATATCCTCCCTGCGGCGGGTTGTTCTGCTCTGGGGCTCCTCAATATGTGTGTGTGTGTGTGTGTGTGTGTTAGTGCTTTTCTAATGCAAAATAAGCCAAAAAACAAAGCAAAGGCCAAAAGCAAAAGCATCATCTAACCAGCTTTCAGACATGGTCGAAATTTTACCCCGACTGCAACCCCACTGTGCCCAACTCTTCGTATTTTCCCTGTGCTCTGGAAAATTTCACACAGATTAAGGATATTTTCAACTGCAGTCGAGTTCAGTTCTGCTTCGGCTTCTGCTTCTGGTTGTTATATACTATATTTTTGTTGTGTTGTGCCAAAAGGCAGCCATCGCTGGAGGCGCTCTATGGGGGTCATGGTCAGGGTTCTCTCACGCTTCTCCTGATGCTCTCCAGGCCAGTAAGTCTTTTGGCTGCAAACAGCATTCATTATGCATGCATTTTAAATTGCAAATTTCAGTACCTTTTCGGCAGCACTCCTCCAGCGATGCCGCAACTGCTGCTGCTGCTGCTGCTGCTGCTACTTTCGACCAAAGATGCTGTCAGCTTTCGGCCAGGCTAAGACCTGCTGATGCGCTTGATGAGCTTTTCGCCATATTGTTTGAATTTTTACTCAACTCAGGGGCTTAGATCACCTAACCGTAAGTCCCTCAGGGGGTCCGTCGGCCGC